ACAATGATATGATTTTTTGTTCTTTCTTGCCTGATACCTGATCCTTTTGACACCTCGTGACACACAGGCTGGTGTGCTTCTTCCATGTGGGCTTTGTTGCTTCTGAGCTAAATGGCCGCTTGCCTATCTTCAAATTGATGGCAATTTTTAATGCACCCTTCTGATAAAGGAATACCAAGGGGGCTTATTTATTGAAGAAACCAGCATAACAAAAATTCTGAAGTGTTTTAAATCTTTTAGTAGTTATTGAGTTTTCCACATTCATAATTGAGTTTATATTTAAGACAACTGTATGTAATCTTAAACAGGATAGTTTAGAATTTGAAGGTGTTACTTCCATTTCTTATTATACTATTTTCTAACATTTTTAGTTTACCATGTTTTTATTCCTTCATCCCCAATTAATCTCCTGGTGTTTTATTTTTATGAAGTTAATGCCTATTTAAAATTTATGAACATGTTTTCCAAGTGTATTTTTATTTGGGGCCCATAATTATTTCCTGCATTCACTTTATTAGGGATTCCGTTTCTTCCTTGCTTGCTTGCTTTCCTTCTTTCTTTCATTTAGATGCAGTGTTTCCCCAAGTGGGCAGTACTACCCATTGAGTCGCCCTGGAACGATCCAGGGGCACTACAGAAGCAGATACCTACACTTAATCCTGGATTATGGCCTGGAGTACCAACGTTTAATTGCCAGGGAGGCACTGAATTTTTTCTCTTTTTTTGTTCTTGCTTCTCAAACCTCAGTTAGAGGAAGCATATTGTACCTTCTTGCTCTCTTCCCACTCACTTTTAATTACGCTTTCATAAATTCTACCTCTTTATCTCCAATGATGTACTTAGGCAGTTTTCTCAGGTCTACCTTGCAGTTTACTCTATATCTTCTTTGGAGTTTTAAACTGTCCATTGGTGACTACAGTTTCAGTTTTCACTTCTCAAGTCCATTCGTTTGTATGTACTATCCTTTTATTATTAATTATTTTAGTCTATATTGAATAACATTTGTCATATTATATGCTCTTGCAGATAGATTAGCTTCATATTCTCACATTGACATCCTTGTTTGATGACTTCCTTGTGTGGTACATCCTGTCCTCACCAGCTCTGCTAGGTTGGGTATGCTTGTCTTTGGAGGGTCTCTGTATTGCTTCTTGCTAGCTTTCAAGCAGAAAAACATTTTGGACAAGTTTCAGATAAATGTCTTGGCTTGGAGTTGGTAGTGTACATCAGGTCCCACATCTGCTTGTGGCAAGAGTGGAGTGTCATTGCTCAGACGTATTTTTCTCCCACTTTTGCTGCTTACTGGGTGCGATTGTTCTTGTCCCCGTTTTAAGGACAGGGCTTTCTGCCAAGCTCCAGGCCATGTGCAGATAGCTCAGTCCTCCTCACAGCAGCCTGGAAAACACATTTCTCGTTATTCTGGGCCCAATCCTATGTTACTGTCTCCTTACTGCTCTATTTTAATCTCTGTTTAGAGAGACTAATTATATGCTTTTTTTCTTAATTTAGTATTGCTATATGTTTACATCAGGAGGTGGGCCTATTTTACTTCAATCTGCTATGCTTTTCTGACATTGATAATAAATTAAAACTTTTACTATGTTGTATAGGCAAGAGATAAAGCTCAGGACACACAGAACCCAGAAACAGGAATGGGAATAGTGATATAAAAGGGTGGGGGAAGGGGGGAGAGGAGGAGGAGAGAGAGGGGCTACCGATCACAATGAATGGCACATAACCACAACCCCCCCTCTAGGGGGAACAGCCAGAGGGGAATGGTGACAGTGTAAGATAAGAAAATAATAACAGTCTGTGATCTATCAAGGGGCCATGAGGTGGGGAGGGCAGGGGAGCTGATGCCAAAGGCTCAATAGAAAGTAAATGTCTAGAAAAGATGGCAGTGTATATACAAATGTGTCTGATACAATTGATGTATGGATTGTAACAAGAGTTGGAAGAGCCCCCAATAAAGTGATCTTAAAAATTTTCTTTATTATGTTACAGTTTTAATTTTAACTTGTGTTAAATTAATTGGTTATATACCGTTTCCCCAAAAGTAGGACATTCCCTGAAAATAAGACCTACTTACAGTTTTGCCTCAAGCTGAAATATAAGGCATCCCCCCGAAAATAAGGCCCCCCGAAGCTACCTTAACTCTGGAATCTAGACCGTGCCTCCATGCAGCTCACTGTTAGCCACAGTGCAGCCGTAGCAGACAGGAAGTGCGAGGTCTATTTTAATAAAACAATGAACAAATAAGACATCCCCTGAAAATAAGACCTAGCGCATCTTTGGGAGCAAAAAATTAATATAAGACACTGTCTTATTTTCGGGGAAACAGGGTAGTAGCAATTAGAATATGTTAAGAACTTTTAATACATCTGGGTTGCATCTGAAAGTGTTAGTTAATTGATGTATCTTTGTTGTTATCCCCACCCCCCCTTCTTTGCTTGGGATCAGTGCATTTCCTGACACATTTGGGTGAAGAAGAGCGAAGTAATGAAGAGAAAACTTCCGAGACTGAATTGTCTGAAACAGAAAGTTACTCTAGTCATAAGGCCTTTGTGTCTGCATCTGCCACCTCAGCCGTCAGCCCTTCCACTGACCAGAATACGGCTTCCACTGGTATTGCTCCTCTTTACTTCACTGACACTCCTGTTGGGGATTTAATTAGGAAGTGTTGATGATGAAGGGTTTAAAATATAATTAAATATATTTTCAAGTTATTCTTTTCAGGGGGAGGGTATTTAGAGATTGGAGCATTCACTCTGTGTCTTTGCACATTTCATTATAATATTTTACTTTGTCTTCTCAGAAAAGTAAAATAAATAAGGAAATGTGCAAAGACCTACAGTTGTTAGGTGCCATCGAGTTGGCTCTGACCCACAGCAACCATATGCACAACAGAACAGAACCCTGCATCGTCCCGTGCATCCTCACAGTTGTCCCCGTGCCTGAGCCCCTGGATGCAGCCACGATGTCATCCATCGTGTTGAGGGCCTTCCCTTTTTTCACCGCCCTCCATTTTACTAAACATGTCCTTCTCCAGAGACCGGTCTCTCCCGACAATATGTCCAAAGTATGTCAGACAAAGTCTAGCCATCCTTGCTTCTAAGGAGACTTTGGCCTTCCTTCTTCCAATACAGACTGTTTGTCCTCTTATCAGTCCATGGTACTTTCAATATTCTTCTCCAGCACCTCAATTCACATGCATCACTTCTTCTACGGTCTTCCTTAGCCAGTGTCCAACTTTGACATGCATGTAATGCAATGGAGAATACCATGGCTTGAGTCAGGTGCACCTTAGTCCTCAAAGAAACATCCTTGTTCCTCAACACTCTAAAGTGGTCTTGTGCGGCAGATTTACCTAATGCAATACATCTTTTGATCTCTTAGCTACTGCTTTCATAAGCATTGATTGTGCAACCGTTCTCCATTCATCATCATGTTACCTACTAGCCCAGTTGTAAGGACTCGGGCCCTCCCTCCATTGAGTTGTAATCCATAATGAAGGCTGCACTCCTTGATCTTCATCAGCAGGTGCTTCAATGTTTCCTCGCTTTCAGCACACAAGGCTGTGTCATCTTGCATTGGCTCCCTCAGATCCGAGGGCACTCAAAATGTGACGAAAGAGGAGAGGCGATGATTTCTTGGAAGACAGTTGACCGTGGTGATGTGAGTTCCACAAAGCCTGTTGGAGTGGAGACTTAGGGTTAAAAAACAAAAGGGAAGAGCATGCTCAGCACACCTTAGACTGAAAGAACCAAAGGAAAAATTCAAGCCTCAAGGTGCAATATTGAAAGATTCTGTGGGCAAAATATTGAATGATGCAGGAAGCATCAAGAGAATATGGAAAGAATACAGTCACTGTACCCAAAAGAACTAGTCTACATTCAGCCATTTCAGAAGGTAGCATATGAGCAAGAACCAGTGGTGCTGAAGCAAGAAGTCCAAGCTGCACTGAAAGCATTCGCCAAAAACAAGGCTCTAGGAACTGGTGGAATACCCACTGAAATGATTCAGGAAGCTAATGAAGCACTAGAAACACTCACCTATGGCAAGAAATTTGGAAGATGGCTACTTGGCCAACTGACTGAAGAGAACCATATTTGTATGTATTCCAAAGAAAGGTGGACCCAACAGAAAGCACAAATTATAGACTGATATCATTGATATCACATGCAAGTAAAATTCCGCTGTAGATCATCCAACAATGCTTGCAGCAGAACACTGTCAGGTTGCTGCCAGAGGCTCAGGCCAGACTCAGAAGAGGGCATGGAACAAGGGGTATCATTGCCAATGTCAGGTGGATTTTGGCTGAAAGCAGAGAATACCAGATGTTTACTGTGCCAAGGCATTTGACTGTGTGGATCATCACAAACTATGGATAACCCCAAAAAACAAACTGGATCACCTTGAGAAGAATGGGAATTCCAGAACCCTTCCTTGTGCTTATGCAGAACCTGTACATGGATCAAGAACAGAACAGGGGAATACTGCATGGTATAGAATCAGGAAAGGTGTGCATCAGGGTTGTATCTTCTCATTATGTTTAATCTGTATGCTGAGAAAATAGAGAAGCTTGATTAGATGAAGTATGTGGTATCAGGATTAGAGGAAGGCTTAATGACAGCCTTGCTTGCTGAAAGTGGGGAGGACTTGAAGCACTTGCTGATGAAGATCAAGGATTGTAGCCTTCAGTATGGATTACAACTCAGAGTAAGGAAGACCCAAATCCTCACAACTGGACTAATAGGTAACATCATGCTAAGTGGAAATAAGATTGAAATTGTCGAGAATATAATTTTACTTGGATCCACAGTCAATGCTCATGGAAGCACTAGAAAAGAGATCAAAGGACTTGTTGCATTAGGTAAATCTGCTGCACAAGACTTCTTTAAAATGTTGTAAAGCACGGATGTTACTTCAAGGACCAAGGTGCGCTTGCCCCAATCCATGGTATTATCAATCTCACCTTATATGCCTGTGGAAGGGAGTTGGACATTCAATAAGGAAGACTGAAGAAAAATTGATGCACTTGAACTGTGGTTTTGGTGAAGAATATTGAAAAAGTACCACGGATGGCCAAAAGAACAAACAATCTGTCTTGGAAGAAGCACAGCCAGAATGCTGCTTAAAGACAAGGATGGCGAGACTTTGTCTCACAGACTTTGGACATGTTGCCAGGAGAGACCAGTCCCTGGAGAAGGAACATCATGCTTGGTAAAGTAGAAGGGCAGAGAATGAGAGGAAGGCTCTCGATGAGATGGATTGAGACCCTGGCTGCAACAATGGCCTCAAACATAGCAATAATTGAGGGGGTGGCACGGGACCGGTGATGTTTTGTTCTGTTACACTCAGGGTTACTATGAGTGGAACCACCTGGATGTCACATGACAACAACCACATGCACACCTGTGTCATCCTGACACGTTCATACACTGTAGCCATGCTTCGTATCTCGGTAACATATGAAATGTTAAATATAAGCCCTGGAAATAATGTAACATTTGATTTTTATTAAAGTTGAGAAATCTAATCTGTCATCAGAACTCAAAATAATGGCTGTCATGTACTGAGCCTTTGACTTCTGCCAGACTTTGTAGTGGTTCACATCGATCCCTGTCTACGTGTGGCCTGTAAGCCAGACGCCATTGCTCTCCCCATTTTAAAGCCGAGGCTTAGAAAGGTTTTGTATCACTTCTAGTTCTGTTTCATCTGAAGGTAGCATTTAAAAATATTACCCTTTAGTTCCAATGAAACCGTTTAGCCATGTGAGTAGTAGAGTATAATAGTTGAACCATCCGCAATGGAATGATGGTTAGGTTTGGTTTTGGCTCTCAGATATTGACAACCAATAATGATACTTTTATTCAGTGTTTATAATATTTTTAATTAACCAGTTTTTTAAAAGATACTTTATTTTTTATTTTTATTAAATCATTTTATTGGGGGCTTGTACAACTCTTATCACAATCCACACATACATCCATTGTGTCAATCACATTTGTACATTTGTTTCCCTCATTATTTTCAAAACATTTGCTTTCTACTTGAGCCCCTGGTATCCACTCCTCATTTTCCCCCTTCCCTCTGCATCCCACCATGAACCCTCGATAATTTATAAATTATTATTATTTTGTCATATCTTACAATGTCTGACATCTCCCCTCACCCTCTTCTCCACCGTCGGTCCCCCAGGGAGGAGGCTATATGTAGATTCCCTGTAATCTGTCCCCCTTTTCTCCCCCACCTTCCCTCCACTCTCCCAGCATCACCATTCTCACCGCTGGTCCTGAGGAGTTTGTCTGTCCTGGATTCCCTGTGTTTCCAGTTCTTATCTGTACCAGTGTACATCCTCTGGTCTAGCCAGATTTGTAAGGTAGAATTGGGATCGTGATAGTTGGAGGTGGGAGGTGGGCGGAAACATTGAAGAACTAGAGGAAATTGTATGTTTCATCGTTGCTACCCTGCATTCTGCCTGGCCTATCCCCACCTGCAACCCCTCTGTAAGGGGGTGTCCAGGTGTCACAGATGGCTTTGGGTCTCCACCCCACACTCCCCCTCATTCACAGTGATATGATTTTTTTTGTTCTTTGATGCCTGATCCCTGATCCCTGTGACACTTTGTGATCACATGGGCTGGTGTGCTTCTTCCTTGTGGGCTTTGTTGTTTCTCAGCTAGATGGTCACTTGTTCATCTTCAAGCCTTTAAGACCCCAGAGGCTATATCTTTTGAAAGCTGGGCACCACCAGCTTAGAAAGGTATTTTAGTTGGCATTTAAACAATTGCTATTGTTTAAACAGGGCCTAAGACATGAAAACAATAATTTTCATGTTATCGGGGTCACGAGAGTGGGAGGTGGGGAGAGTGGGGAAAAAGAGGAGCTGATACCAGGGCTTAAATAGAAATAAAGATTTAGAAAATTATGATGGCAATATATGTACAAATAAGCTTGAAATAATTGATGTATAGAATGTTAATAAGAGCTGTAGGAGCCCCCAATAAAATGATTTAAAGAGAAAGAGTGAATAATGAAAGTAATATGTTTGTCTCCAAATCTCTTGGAAGTGGACATGGAATAATCATTCTTCAAGAATGAGTTGGCACCTAAAATAAACAAATAAGCAGTGTATGTTAAAGTAAAATCACTAAGAAGCTGGTTTTAAATCTTATGATTTTTTTCCCCTTCATAGTTCTTTTTAAATTCCATTTGATTTTAGTTGTCTACATCCGAGGTTAATAATTTCCATTTCCATTTCACAGCACTGTTGTGGACATTGAGTATCGTATATAAAGCATCTTGCCTAGAAGCTGTTATTCCTGTAGGTTCTTGGCCACTGGTACCCTATTCTTCCCTCCCAAGGGCCAGGGCTCACAAATGAGGTTATACAGGACTCGTGGGCTAGGTTGAAGAAAGTGTTAATTGCATTTGAGAATTTTAGCGACTTTTCTTTTGGGGAATCACTGGAGAATTTTGGGCCGAGAAGTAAAATAAGAAAATTTTGAGGAAGACTACACTGGAAGCAAGAAGCCCAAGTGGCCACAACCGTTGAATGCTTAGCTACTATAACTAAAAGGTCAGCAGTCCAAACTCATGAGCTTGGACTCCGTGGAAAGAGATGTGGTGGTCTGCTCCCATAAGATTACAGCCTGACAGTCACTCTGAATAGGACTTCCCTCAGGACACCACAGCAGCAGCAACATACAACAGTTAGGAACCTATTAAATTACTCTTACCTGTGAGATGATGAGAGCCTGGGCCCTGTGGTAGGAAAGGAAAAGAGGAACAGACATGCCAGAGACCTTCTGAATAAGGAACTGTCAGCACTCGAAGACTAAGTGGATAAAACGGAGAGAGAGAAAAACTGAAGGCTGTCTGCTCTTGTTAGCGCATACAACCAGGGCTGGTGCCTAACTCAAAAGCAATGCGAGTTGAGTTGTGATGGTTAGGTTGATGCTAAGATCAATGTTTGACCATAGGCAGCACAGTTTAAACATAGGAGTGGAGCTTGGATGAGAGCGTCAGGCTTGAAAACATGTTTAACTGTGCAGTTGAGCTAGGCAAGTGCATCTGTTCGCTGTGAGAAGAAACCACAGCCCACTGCTGTTGAGTGAATCCCATTGCATAGCTACCCTAAGATAGCAGAGCTCTGTAGGGTTTCCATGACCAAATCTTTACCGCAGCAGACAGCCTCATTTATCACCTGAAGAGTGCAGGTAGTTTTGAACTTCCAGCCTTTTGGTCAGCAACCCAACCCTTAGCCTACTGGACTGCTACCAGAAGAGAAAAATGCCAAGGCCCCAACTTGGTAACAACAAGTGAGCCAAGTTTAGAGGAGGGATTTGCAAGAAGTCAGTGGCTTCACAGTTCCGTGTGCCACCAGAAAGTCAAGAGTGAAGGCTGAGTCCTAGGACTTTGGGACCTTTAGTACAGTCTCAAGAGTAGAAAAGGTGGGTTGGGGACAAAGGTAGACCCCAAAAGCTAAAAAAATTAAAGATTTTTATATATAAATTAGGTTAATGAAAAAACTGCCCTGTAATTTTTATTAATAATGTTCTTTTCTTTTTTAAAGGTATGAATAACAGTCATGAGTTGCATGAGAGGTAAATATCCTAGGGGTTTTAAATCACTATTTTTCCTTAAGCAGAAATGATGTGTTTTGGGAATTTTGTTATTCACATTTATATGAAATCGCATACTACACGTTTAAGTGATTTAAAGACTATAATAAGTACCCGGTGGGAATGGGTGCTCCGGAACCCCCGAAGTCTTGTTATCTTCTCTCCCTTACCCTCGGATCATAGGGGTTCTGTGAGGTACAGCTGACTTGATGGCAGTAAGTTTGGTTGCTCTCTCTTTTTTTGGTTACTATTTTATTATAAGTAATTAGAATACAATAGTCTACATTTGTTCCATTTGCTTTTACTAAATAGATTTTAAATTTCAGCAGGCAAGACTTATAGAGGTTTTCTTCTGGGCCTGTGTCTGATTTATTTAGAGTACCTACCAACATCAATTACTATTATCTTCCCTGCGCCATCCCACCCTTCATCCCCCATCTCCCCCCCCACGTATTGCAGTGACAATACTAGAGGACATGGCAGCTATGTCTATCCCTTGAGGTTCACCGCTGCTCCTGGAGGACATGGTTTTACTTGTGCATTGTTGCTTCAGGTCATGAAGTGGTAGACACTGACTTGTAGTTCTCCAATTGCGTGTGCCTGTGCAGTGTTCCAGCAGATCCGCTCCACATGACTGGACTGAGCGATATTGCAGACATCATTGATGACCTGATTACAAAGGATGGGGTCTCCAGTGAAGAGCTTGGCTTAACAGAACAGCAAGCTAAGACTTTCTCCAGGTAATCACTGAGTGATGAGCCATTTAATGTCTGGCTTTAAAATGTTCAAACTGGACCATATTTTAATGAACCAGATCCCGAGTGTAGAAGGTTGTTTTTTTCTTCATCAGTACACTTGGTGCGTCACCCCTCCTTTCTCCAGCAGTCTATACACTAGTCTCATTTCATAATATAGCACATCTTGAGAGTTTTCTAAGGCCTCAGCAGTCTTGAGTAAACCCTAGGTCTTCCTAATAATCAATGATTGAAATACTCTAAACAGTACCCTATGCCATGAGATTAAGTAGCTTTTCTGTGGAACATTAAGTTGACGTGTTTTTCCTTGCAATCCTTCCTGGGCTAAGAAATGGTTCCTGATAGAATGAAGGCTGGCCATGCCTCATGCTTCCCTAAAATGTGTGCACTTCGTGGTAATTTTAGATCAAATAGTCAACCTTATGAATTGCCAGCTGTGCTTCTTTATAACTACCAGTACCACCCCCCAAAAAACCAAACTCAGCACTGTAGAGATCATCTGTAACTTCAATTTTAATACATTTCACTGAGATGGTACATTGAGCTGAGTTAAGCTAGGATATAAAGAAGTATCATCTCATTCTCAAACACTTCTTTATATCCTGCTTTGATTCACCTTATCATCTCAACATCATGAAACATGTTGTAGTTGAACTTAGAAAGCTGTTACTGGGGAAAAAAAAGAAAGGCAATTTCTATATAATTAGGATTATCTGCTGTATCATGACTTCATTGTCAAGACTACATAGACTTTAATCCCCTTGTAAAATACATTTAGTTAGCTTCAGTCACATGTATAAAAATTGGTCCTTTTTAAAAGATTATGATTATTCTATGGATATTTCATCAATATGACAGCTATCAAGAAGCAGAATAAAGAGGAAATGGCAGTAAATGGAGATGAAACAGAAAGTGTATGAATGGTTGAATATAAAACTGGTCATCTGTTCCATAAACTTCAGCCAATTCACAATTTTAAGAAAGAATTGGAATAAGAACAAAATATGATTTTCACTCAGTGGGAGTCAGCGGAGAGTTTAACGCCTGACTATAGGAGCCGGAGTCAGCAGCTCAAATGCAGGGGCTGCGGTTGAGTGCAGGAGAGCAGGGTTGGGCAAACACAAGAGGCTGTCGGCAGAGCATGGTGGCTTTTCCATTAGGTGACTGAGTGGATGGTAATTTCATTACCAAGACTGAGAATGCAGTGTGAGCTCTCGAAAGTGCCGGGAGAGCACTCTTTGGAATTGGTCATAGAGATTTATTTAAGCAGGGGATGGAGGGTGGGGGACAGAGGAGTTGGGGACAGCTGTCAAGACTGTAAGGGCAGTAGGGCAGTGTGGAGCTGACCCAATGTCAGTATTTCCAGTAGCACCCAGGCTTGACCTTTTGTTTGGAAGATGCACAGGACTCCACACATAATCATACCCTTGGTTATAATTTATTACAGCAAAGGGGGTCAAAGGAAAATCAGTCAAATGTAAAAGAGTCTTGGGGCCAAGTCTGGAGGTAACTAAACCTAAATTCCCAAGAATCCTCTTTAGGGGGATCCCAGGTGGCCCACAATGACAACATGTGTGCCATGTTGACTACAAGTTCAACACTCAGCCAAGGTTTTTTTACTGAGGGCTATACATGTAGGCCTCGTCTGCCCAGGGTGTACCAGGCTCCCAGACTCCCAGAAGAAATCAAGTGCTCCTCAGAAGCCACATGGTTTGTTCGTGGTTTAGGCACAGGGGTCACTTTGTGCAGTTTGGGAATGGTGAGAACCTTTCCAAAATCCAAGTTCCCAGGTGCCAGCCAGGACCCACCCTGTAAGTAGACCCTTGCAAGGACGGTAGTTGTAGGCCTGCTACGGCCACCCTAGTCTTTACTGGCCCTTTTGAAGGAGAGAGAGGGAGGAGGACTAGGTGAAAAAGGACTAGGGAGGAGGACTAGGAGGACTAGCATGCAGTTAAAAAGAAAGCTTCCGCCAGGTCAGTAGTGACCACAGTCAAGTTCCACCAGAGAAATCTTGTGGAAATAGGGACCTGTCATATCACTGCCATGCTCAAATCTTCCCTAATAAGCAGCATTTAGTTGCAGTGCTTAGTGCATGACAGGTATAAACCCATGTGATATCTGCCTGCTGAACTTGTCAGGATCCGGCACACTTCTGACAGACGTTCACAAAGAACTGAGAAGGAGAGGAGGGAGATTCGCATCTGGATGAAAAGAAAACGAAAGGAGAGGATGGCGGAGTACCTGGATCAGCTGGCAGAAAAGAGAGGGCGGGAGCACGAGCCTTTCTGCCCCAGGACCCGTCCAGTAAGTCTCAGGGGGGAGGCATTATCAAAGGGTCTGGGCCGCTTTCCTTACGTTAGGAAAACCGAGGAAATGGCCTTACCAAACTATAGTAGGATGTCCTACGAACTAGGTCTGTTGAGCTATTTTAAATATTGTTTTCCCTCCCAAGCTGATTATGGCTTTAGCATTAACCAAGTAAAGTGACCAAATGGAGCTGTTCTTCAATTTTCCAGGAGCTTCAACGTCAACCCAAAGACTGCATGAATATTAAAACCATTTTTCTAATTTAAAAATCTATTTTCTATTTATATTTCTATTTAAAAATACACAAAAATTATGCTCCCATCATATACCAACAGAACAGTGGTATATTTGTGTGTGTACAATTTTTGTTTTCATTGACCATTTAAACTATCTAGTATATACATAGCCCTGACAACATTGCCCTGACTAGATGGAGTACTTTTCTTCAAAAGATGAAGCCTAGCTACTTGGATAATCACATAATTGGGAAAATCACATTTAGCTTATCCGTAGGTTAAAGTTCATCTTTTACTTGTAATACGTAATAAAACGTTTTTCAGCATCACTGGGAGGAAACCATGAATGAGTTTCCTAGGCCAGGTTGTCCCATGTAAGCACCACAGAGGGTACAAAAGAGTGCAGCTCCCCTTTCAAAAGTGAGTGTCGCCTTGTACCCATCTGTCTCTGGGGAAAGCACGCTGAGAGTAAAATAACCTTTTCGTGACCTTAAGGGCTAATGAAAGTGTTTGTGTGTTCATATTCCCCTACCCACGGGGGTGGGGGGGGGTGTTCCAACATCACCCCCTTATAGTCAGCCAAATGAACTCTGGGCATAGGGACTGCGTGGTTCGCAGACGTTTGTGTCAGGATTGCAGGCACTTGTTTTGACTTGGGTGAAGTTAGAGGGTTAGTCAAGGAGTGCTGGTGGCACAGTGGTTGAAACCCTCCGCGGCTACCTCGAAGTTGGCAGTTCAAGCCCACCCACATGAGACAAAGGTTGACAGACTTCTTTCACCAAATTACAATCTTGGCAGTTCTCTGGGGGATCTACCCTTCTCTGTAGGGCTATTATGAGTTGGAATTGAGTCGCTGAAAATCGCTTTGGAGTTATAGGATTAAAAACCAAACCTCCTGCAGTCAGGTGAATCCTGTAGCGACCCCATAGGACAGAGTACAACTGTGTAACCGGATTTCTAAGGCAGTCCTTTCCGAAGCAGACTGCCACATCTTTCTCCCCAAGAAGCTGCTGGGTGGGGATTACGGACCTTTCACTTAGTGGCCCGTTGGTTTACCCTCTGTGCCGCCAGGGTTCTCTTTAGTAAGGGAGTCATGCAATTGAAGGCGCGCTTTGGCAGTCCACATGGCTAAGTACAAGACTGCGAACTGAATGGAGGCTGTTGGAAGTCGCCCAAAGGCCCCTCAAAAGGCAGGCATGACACCTGGTTCCTAGCCTTGAGAGCCATCTGGAGCATTTCTACTGTACACCTACGGGGTTGTGCCACGACTTAGAACAAACCACAGTGATGTACTTTAAAGTTTGACATAAATGTCCATCAAAAGAAGTAAGGATTTTCTTTGTTACTGTTTCTAAAAAAGCCCTTGATACGGTGAGTTCACATGGACGTGTATGTAGAGGAGCGTAGCTGTCAGACTTGACCTCATTAGTAACTCACACCAATAACAAGTTTTTCAGGAATAAGATGTGTGTATCTGTCACTGTTCTTTGGCCTTACAGTGCATACGTTTTGCAGTTTACAAGTTGCAGTGAGTTCCCTTCAGTAGGTTTCTGGAAAGCATTTTAAAAACATTAAAAGGCCTCATTTCTGCTTCACCAGCCGAGTTCCTGGCAGCTCGTGCTAGCTCGGTGTGGGTGTCCTCTCTCGCACAGGTGCCGTTTGTCATTTCAAATGCAGCCCGACCGGTGCTTATCCACGTCACTAGGAAAGTAGATGTTGCACCCTAATGATTAAATTGGATGTTACTTTAATTACATCATGCTTCAATTTAACATTTTTATGTTTTGTGCTTGGGTAGAAAGCTTCATCAATAATGGTAATGTTTACACTGTTGCTAAGTGGCACAATTATGTTTTAACCTCTTGATAAAATGGAGTAGTGAAATTTCTAATTTTAGAGGGATTATGATTTCATTATTTGAACTGAACAAGAGTGAACTAACTGGGTATTTCTCTACAGTTTTACCTGACTTCACGGGAACTCAGGCGAAGACAGAAGATGAAGCATGAAAAAGACAGGTGAGTGTGGTAGCTGCCCCCGAGCTTGCTCTAGCTGTTCCCTCAGCGTAGATAGTACCTTCAAACAAAACAAAAGCCATTGCTGCTGAGTGGATACTCACAACGACCCTATAGAACATATTTAAACTGCCCCATAGGGTTTCCAAGGAGTAGACTGTAGGCTTATACCTTTCTCAGTGGCTATTCCATCCAAAACTTTATGACAATATTAAAAATCTGCCCAACTATTTTGTGGGTTTTTTAAAACTTTTATTATTTTAAGCTTAATTTATTCCCGAGCCATGAGTTTTTGCTTCTTCAGTTTCTTCTGGGAAATCTTTTTCTTCCGTGCAACCTCCTCTTCTGGTTTGGGAACAGTTTTTTCCTTTTCAGTCAGGATCATCTCAGTGTGGCAGGGGGCGCTCATGTGTGGGTTGATCTACACATGAGCTCTGTGAGTTCGGAGGCGCATCTTGCGGGCTTTCATCACCTGGATGTGCTCAATGACCAGAGCATCCACATCTAAACCCTTCAGTTCAGCATGACTTTCTGCATTTTTAAGCATGTGCAGCAAAAATTCAGCACTCTTTTTGGGCCACCGACCCTGGGTCCAACCCCCCTGTTTGGTCTGGGCACACCGACCAACACCACCATTGTAACGTCGGAAGGGCACACACTGCTTCTACAGAGCGACGTCTTTCAAGTGTTTGGTGGCTTTCCGGATGTGCATGCCTTTGCTGGCTTGGGCAGTTTCACGGGTGTTCTTGAAGTGAACCCGGAGGTTCGACCGTCTTGATTTGCAGGATTTGTAGGGTTTTCTGGGTCAAGTGAGTAGCAAACCATATTGGTGGGTCACCTCAGGCCGCTACAGTTAGAACTATTTTGTGTATTAATGATAGTTGTCTGATAGTAGCAAATGCCAAGGTGCAAGATAGGCTGAATGTTAGCTGTGATGGTTAAGGTTATTTGCCAGCGTGGCTGGCCATGATTCTTAATAGTTTGGCAGTTATTAATTAGGTGATTTGGCAGTTATATGGTGATGTAATTTAGAAGTTATTTATTGAAGTCATCCTCCATTTTTGTGATCTGATATGGTCATTCTCCATTTTCACATAATGCTGATTTTTACGTAACAACTTGGTCTTTGGAACGTAACCATGTGTTTAAGCAAGGATTAGGTATAATCTTTATTGCACTGGGGATGATCATGTTTGTTGCACTGGGATGATCATGTTTGTTGCACTAGGTGTGATCATGTTTGTTGCACTGGGATGATCATGTTTGTTGCACTGGGATGATCATGTTTGTTGCACTGGGGATGATCATGTTTGCTGCACTGGGAGTGATCATGTTTGTTGCACTGGGATGATCGTGTTTGTTGCACTGGGGGTGATCATGTTTGTTGCACTGGGGGTGATCATGTTTGTTGCACTGGGTGTGATCATGTTTGTTGCACTGGGTGTGATCATGTTTGTTGCACTGGGATGATCATGTTTGTTGCACTGGGGATGATCATGTTTGTTGCACTGGGGATGATCATGTTTGTTGCACTGGGATGATCATGTTTGTTGCACTGGGATGATCATGTTTGTTGCACTGGGGATGATCATGTTTGTTGGTGTAGACCGGTCTGTCTTCCATGATGCAGCTGATAGGTTTGCACCACTGTAGGAGTCTTGTTTTTTAAAATTGTCCCCTTTTTGGTCAATAAAGAAATGAAAGAATTCTTTACTAAGGGGAGATGGGGGAAAGACTCACTAACTTTCTGTTTGTTTCTACAAATACATTTTGTTTCTAGCAACAAAGATATACTACTTTACAGAACCCCCCACCCCCCAAATCCACATTCAGATATTCCCTGTCTAGGATATAAATCTTAACAAAATCTTACAAAATCTGGTATACCAATGCTTGGGGACACATCCAGTCAGGGTATCTTTTCACATTAGATCTTTTATAATTTTTTAAATTGAAAGATCATTTTATTGGGAGCACTTATAACTCTTACAACAATCCATACATCAGTGATATCAAGCGTATTTGTACCTATGTTGCCGTCATTCTTTTCTGGACATTTACTTTCTACTGAGCTCTTGGTGTCTGTTTCTCTTTTTTCCCTAATCTTCTCCCCGACACCCCTGTGACCCTTGATAAATTATTTTTATTTTTATATCTTACACCGACTCCTGTCTCCCTACCCCCATGGTTTCTGTTGTTCGTCCCCTGGAGGGTGTGTGTGTGTGGTTATCTGTCGGTCATTGCAGTCGGTTCCCTCTTCTCCCCATAGGACTCACTACCTTTTTATAAGTTTGTCTTCCAGTATTTACTCCACATCATCGTATGACTTTTATTTCTGTTGTTTCCTTCTTCCTCACTCCCAAGACCATAATTCTAGTACCATCAACAATACTATATGATAAGCTACAGAAGTCTAATGAACAGAAGTATTTTTTTAAAGCATCAGAAAAAGTACATGTTAGATGGTCTCATATACTCTGTTCCCTCAAGAACTGGACAGAATTCTTTTAGTAATTGGTGTTTGCTTTTGCATCTGAAGGTTGCTACTCTCTGATCACTACAGTCGTCGAATCTCACAAGCATACAGTCTCATGAATGAACTGCTCTCTGAATCTGCCCAGAAACCACTGCCTCAGAAAGGCAGAACTGCTCAGGTTCCCAGAAAGCACCGCTCAACTGGTCCAAACGGGTAAGGCATGTTTTGGAATGATACTGTCAGGCTACTTTTGTGAGCCCCGTTTGGCATGTCTGCATCTACCGTGCTCAGAGTTATGATAATGAAGTAAAGACAAAAATAGCTCACAAATGTGACATCTTTGGAAATGTGTAGAATCACCAAAAGCCAAAATGACTTTAAACCTTTACCTTAGATTTAACAATGTACTTTAGGATACTGAATGTGATTCTGATAGCTGCTCAATCTGGTTTTATTTTCCGGTTGTTTCTTTATTGTGTCTGTAATGCCTCCTACTCACCCTTTCTGTTTCTCACTTGCCATCTTCACTCACAGAAACAGCCATCCCCACGGCTCCTCTCCTTCACAAACTACATTTACCTTCATAGTAATGGCCTTCAGTAGGTTTGGCAATGAATCTATTAAGCTAGAATTAAACAGCGTACTTCAGAAAATTATCCAAGTATAAAGTGGCTTATATTTAACATTTCTTTGAAATATTAACATTTTTCACTGATATGATAAACAAATGTACAAAATGACGTCTGTAGGTAAGCCATAAAGTGGACATGAGTTGACATTAAGTACAATGTTGTTAAAAATGATCACCTTTGGACCCAAAACAAAACAAACAAAAAGTATATCAATGGGAATGAGGGGGAGGGCAGAGTGGAGCTCCAAAGCCCATCAGTAGTCATTTGGACATCCCATGTCAGAACGGCCACAAGGAACAGAAGCGCCAGTCAGCATGCGGTATAGCACGGATGAAACACACACCTTTCTCTGGTTCTTTAATGCTTACTAACCACCCCCCCCACACCCATCCACCCCAAACATACACTACCATGACCCCAATTCTGTCTTACAAATATGGCTAGACCAGAACATGTATGCCAGTACAGAAAAGAGCTCGCAACACAGGGAATCCAGAACAGATAAAGGGGAGCAGTGATACTAGGAGGGAGTAAGGGGGAACCAATCACAATGATCGATATATGGCGTCCTTCCCAAGGGGTCAAACAGCAGAAAAGTGGGTGAAGTGAGATGGCGGTCAGTGTAAAACATGAAATAAAGAAAAGAATGAATTATAAATTTTCAAGGGGGTATGGGTGAGGAAGGGGAAGGGAGGGGGTGGGGAATAAGCTAATGCCAGGGGGTCAAGTAGAAAGAAATGTTTTGAAAAAGATGACAACATATGTATAGATGTGTTTGTCAGAATGGATATGTGTATGGATTGTGATAAGAGCTGTAAGAACCCCCAGTCAAGTGATTTTTAAAAAGATCACCTTTGAGAAACCACTATCCCAGTCAAAACTGAACCAGCTTTGTTCCACCCCAGCTGGGAATTGGTAGCCCTTGCTGACAGTGAACAGTTAGGATTACACACAATAGCATATAACCTACAATTTGTCTAGAGGAAATGCTGCATCAAATTCAAACAAAATCAGATCACTGGTGTGTATAACTTGGACTGCAAAGTACTAGAGGATTTCCCTGAAACCTTCCTAGAATAAAGGAGAATATAAGTACCTAAATAACTACCAACGATATGAAGAAGTTGAAATGGAATGATAATCAAAAACCATTTTTAAAAGGAAAGAAGGTGGTTGAAATACTAGTTACAAAGATAGTTTATTGGGGGTTACTATATGCTAAATGCATCACTAAGCAACGTCAAGTGAGTGAATTAATCAGGGGCTGTCACCTGGGCTTTTTGAAATATTAAAATTTATCACTGATATAAGAATCTAGGAACATAATCATGTAATTTTTACTTTAGAACAAATCAGTATGGTCACAATTTTCCAATCAATCGACCTGGCAAAATCAGCTATCAAACAAAACCGAGAGATAGTGCAAACGGAATCCCTCGGGAACAACAGTGTCACGGTTCACTTTGGCAAGGAGGTAAGTCTTTAAACCTTTTACACTGGGTTTCTAAGTAAGAGCTGTACCTCTCCAGTAAAAAAAAAAAGCAGTTATCACCTTAACAAAACACAAGGAATTGATAAAGCCTTAGTAGTACTGGGATTTTATTCTATTTCTTTAAAATAAAACAATCCTAATACCAAGGGCTCACGTAGAAAGAAATATTTTGAAAATGATGATGGCAACATATTACAAAAGTGCGTGACATAATGGAGTTGTACAAGCCCCCAATAAAATGATTTTTTTTTTAAAAAAAGAGCTGTATGAAGCCCCAACAAAATGATTTAACAAAATAAAATAAAACAATCCTAGTAAACCTTTAAAATTCTTATGCTTTCTGTAACAGAAATTGAGCCGTCCATAAATCAGTGGATACAACTTAGTCCCAGCATCTGTTTCTGTTTGAGTGTGTGGCTGCAGATGTAGGCACTTTCAGAAATCCAGTCCTTAGCGTGGGGAGGCGCGAGCACACAGCCCGAGAGCCTCAGGTTGAAATCATGTCCTGTTTTCATTACTCTGGAACATCCTTTTCCCCAGAGACGGGCTCTCCTGATCACATGTCCAGTGTGTGAGACTGCGCTGCCTCAGTGTTGGTGTTGCTTCTCTGTCTCATGGTCTCCCTGCTTCTGTCTGTACTTTTTGCGAAACAGACTTCCTTATTCTTCTGGCCGCCATGGTACAATACCATAATTCAAATGCATCGGTGTAGTCTCCCTTATTTATCATCCAGCTTTGACATGCATGAGGCGATTGAGTATACCATGATTTGGGCGGATCTTAGTTGTCAAGTCTGGTCAGCAGATTTTTTTTTAAACTGCTGCTTCCAGGAGTAATGAAATCTTTAACAACTTTAATCTTTTCTTGGTTTATCATAATATTGTCTGTTGGTCCAGGTTTTGAATTTTGGTTTTCTTTTTACTGAGTTGTAATCCATACTGAAAGCTGTAGTCTTTGACTTGTACCCCAGGTTTCCAAATTTGAGTGTCCATTGGAATCACCTGGGAATCTGTGAAGCTACAGATATGTGGGCTTTTTGCAATTCAATTAACCAGAATCTCAAGGGAGAAGAACCCAGGGATCTGTAGTTTCACCAGATCCCCAGGTGATTCTAAAGATCAGTCAGGTTTGGGAACCTTGGACCTGAAGCCCTAGGAATTTCAGGCCACATTCTATCCCATCTTTGGGTATTTGCCTAAATTGACTAATCAACTAGAGAGGGGAATTATACTTAATAGTCTTAGTTCTTAACATCTCCACTTTCCATCTCCCTCATGCTCCTTGTCACAATTTAGAAAGCACTTCCACACTTAGGATATTCCCCTAGCAGCTGTCCACCAGAACCCTGCTGAGTAGGCAGGGCAGCTGTTAACCCCATTTTATAGCTGAGAAAACAGTTTTAGCAAAGTTAAGTGACGTTCCCAGATCTTCTTAGAAAAATGAAAATGATAGTTTCAGACAGGCATAGATGTCAAGCATTTGTTAACACATAACTATATTTTGTAGAACTAATGAAGAAAAAATGTTTATATGCCCCATAAAAATGGGAAATAAGAAGTAGTCGAATTCTGTTATGTCTGTGTCCACGTGTGAAAATGGCACAGGAGCATTTTCTGACCTTCTCTGGCTGCACAAGGGAGAAGAGCATCCAGCTCCACACCAGCCCAGGCTCGCTGCCACGAGGCGAGGGTCAGACATGCCTTCACCCTCCGTTTTGCTTCACCCTGTTCTGACCCCAACCATCCCTCCTATGACACTCTTACTTTTCTACTAGGTTTGATCATTTGCTGCAGTGGCACAAAACTCACAGGCAACACTCACAATTATGGGAGTTGATGAGGAAGGTTAACGGGATCAGAAAACATTAACAATACAGTCCTCAGTCCATAGCAACACCGTTCTCGGTCAGCTGCCAAGTCTCTCTCTGATCTTTAGCTGCTCAGTCACATGGTCCATTGGCCCCTGCCTCTGTGGGCCAGAATTTTGGTGTTCTCCTCTGCTGTCTCATGGTCTCCTTGCCTTGGCCTCTGTGCACCCACCACTCCAGGCAGAGATTTCTGACGCGTTCCTCTGATGGCTCTTCTTCTTTGATGAGCCTAGGAATTCTCTCCCTCCACTTCTGAGATGATCCTTTTGTATGTAAAGGAATGACAACCCAAACTGACCATTATTAGTGTTTCACATGCTCTGTTTGCATGGTCCCACTCATTAGTGGGAGTTACAAAGACAAGGATAGAGAAGAGCCATATTAGGAAATGTCACTTCACCCACACCACTACATCCTTTATTTGAAGATTCATTTGCCAGTTATTGCATCTCTCTTCAAGTATGTCAAATCCACTATTTAATTCACCTATCAAGTGTTCAGTCAATGACTGATTTCCAGAAGTTTTATTTAATTCCTCTTCTAGTCTCTTCCCCATGTGTGCATTAAAACCCCAGCCCCATAGCTTTTTGGATCAATTTGAATGCTAGAGTTATCATTCCCTATCCTAATTTTATGTTAGTAGCAGATACTCTGTAGATAGTTATCCTAGCTTTATTTTCTTTCTCAGTTTCGTCTTTTGTAAAAAAAAATTAAATATCTAGCAGTATATCTAGTTTAATAGACAGAATGGCCCCAAACCAATGTTATCCCCCACTAAACAGCAGAAAATATGCACATTTTAATTATATATATTTTTAATATTTTTTTGTAAACGTTCCAAAGGTGTAGAATTTCATGATTTGAAATGAGTTATGATCGAGTGTGGCTTGCCCATGGGAAGGAAGCACTAGACATATGCTCAATTGTCCCATGGCAGCCCTGCCTGCGAGGGCAAAAATGAGATGGCTCGGTTTCTAGCTTGGGTGATTTATTTCTAGACTGTGCCCACCAACCACTACAGAAAAGGAACTGGGGTTCCTTTTAGGGTGGCAAAGGTAGTGGATTCAATTTTCTAGTTGAGTTTTAGATTCTGTGGACAGTGCCTGGTGATAGTTGTAAAGAAACTGAGTGGCAGTCTGCATGGTCCCACCAGGAAGAATGCTTCTGCTCTGAGGGACGGACGCCTGTGACTTCGTCAGCCTGGTTTCCACTGTGGGTTTCCTTTTGATGTGTCACGTAGCTTTCACTTCAGAAGGCATTTGCTGTCCAATCTGAAGTCTGGCTATCCCAAATGAAAGATCAAGAAATACACTCGAAACGGAACAGAATGAAATGGCAAAGCCATCCCCAGGTGAACCGAGGTACGAGAAAGCTAGTGGTCATTTCCAGGTGTAGCTTCCCCACAGATGAGGGTTTATCCTGTGAACCTTGATTTCCACAGACTTGGTGATAGTTTGGCTTTAAAAAAAAAATCGTTTCATTGGCATATAATTCACATACAGTGAACCCTCATTTATCGTGGTTAATCGGTTCTAGACCCTACCGTGATAAATGAAATTCCGCGAAGTAGGATTCCGTATTTGTAAATCAAATATTTTCGTAGTTAGAGCTAGAGGACATGAAAAAACACCCTTTAGTCACCATTACACTCGTATTACCCAATTTATTAAACAAAAAAGGGAAAA